CTACTTGGGAAGATAAAGTAACAGAACTGCTTGAGCCCAGGAGTTTGAGGTTGCTGTGAGCCACAGCATTCTACCAAGAGCGACAAAGTAAGACTCTGTTTAAAAAAAGAGAGAGAGAGAGAGAGAGAGAAAGGAGAACTTTTCGGAAACAGCACTTCATTTCTAATTTCTTTTCTTTTGGGGGGCAGGACACAGTCTCACTTGGTTGAGTGCCATAGCAGCATCATAGCTCACAGTAACCTCAAACTCTGGGGCTCAAGTGATTCTACTGGCTCAGCTTCCCAAGTAGCTGGGACTATAGGCACCCGCCACAACACCTGGCTATTTTTAGAGATAAGGTCTCACTCTGGCTTAGGCAATCCACCTGCCTCGGCCTCCCAAGTGTAAGGATTACACGCATGAGCCACTGTGCCTGGCCAGCTTCTAATTTCTATTGAGGTTGTTTTTGGAAATACAGCTCACTTATCAGCTGTCTGGAAGATGCCTGAAATTCTCTAAGGTCCCATGAAATTAGGCAAAGCCACCAGCCCTGTCCAGTGGGGTAAGAATCTGAGACAAGTGCAAAACTAAAGTTCGTGATTACTGACATCTGCACTGACTGACCACCACGAACACTCCATTCTCAAAGCTTCCTTCACTGCTCTCAGACTAGCTCCACATGGGCTTCTCTACAGAGAGGTTCCCTTTTCTTACCTCACAGCCCTTACTGTAATTTTATCATCTTTACAACATGTCATTTATGAACCTATGAAACAGTTCATAGCTCTTGAGACAGAAGTCTCAAGAAGAAACAGGTCTGGCTAGGTGGCTCACACCTGTAATCCTGGCACCCTGGGAGCTGAGGCGGGTGGAATGCCCTGAGCTCACGGGTTCGAGACCAACCTGAGCCAGAGCCAGACCTCATCTCTAAAAATAGCTGGCATTTTGGAGGGCACCTGTAGTCCTGGCTACTCAGGAGGCTGAGGCAAGAGAATCGCTTGAGCCCAAGAGTTAGAGGTTGTTGTGAACTGTGATGTCACGACACTCTACTAAGGGTAACATAATGAGACTCTGTCTCAAAAACAAACAAACGTTGAAGAGAACCCCACCTGCCGACACCAAGCTACTATGACAGAGAGGTAGCCTTCAGAAATAAGCCTCCTAAGAAGCACTTCATTCACCTTGGTACCAGACACTTGATTTTCCATACCCTCTTCTCCAAGGCTTCCGTGATCATAATTGGAAGAGGAAGCAGTAGAAAGCCCTTTAATAATATGGTAATTTTATTAGAAAAAAATATTGTGGCTTAAAAGTATAATCTGACAGGCAGAAAAACAGGGAATTGTGCTCAATGACTTTAACCAACTTCTCTCCACTTACTACCAACTACACTACATTCAACTGGGAAGAACTGCAAAAAAATGGGCAAGCAGCAGATTTCTTTTAGAGCTTTCTATAATGTATCTCATTTTGAAGATAAGTTCGTAAAACACAAGTTGTTTCCCAAAAGATTATACTCTTTTTTTTTTTTTTGAGACAGAGTCAAACTCTCTCACCTTCAGTAGACTACTGTTGCATCAAAGCTCACAGCAACCTCAAACTCTTGGGTTGGAGCAATCCTCTTGCCTTAGACTCCCAAGTAAATGGGACTAAAGGTGCCTGCCACAACACCTAGCTAGTTTTTCCTCTCTATTTTACTAGAGATGGAGTTTCACTTTTTCTCAGGTTGGTCTTGAACTCCAGAGCTCAGGCAATCCATCTACCTCAGCTTCCCAAAGTGCTAGGATTATAGGCATGAGCCTCTGCACCTGGCCTCAAGTTCTGCTTTTTCAATTACAAGCCACATGCCAGTCAAAATGTGACAAATTGGAGATGCCAGGATAAAGTACTGGTTCTGCCTGAAGTTCAAGGCTGTAATGAGTGATTGTGCCACTGTATTTCAGCCCAGGACACAGAATGAGAGACTGGCTCAAAAAAAAGAAATACCTGCTGTATCCTCAAGGAATGGACTGTGTGGCTCTTTAAGTGCTGGGTACTGCCCTTTCCTTGAATGGGAGAGAGAGTTTTTTTTTGTTTGTTTGTTTTTTTGAGACAGAGTCTCACTATGATGCCCTTGGCAGAGTGTCGTGGTGTCACAGCTCACAGCAACCTCTAACTCTTGGACTTAAGCGATTCTCTTGCCTCAGCCTCACAAGTAGCTAGGACTACAGGCATATGCCACAATGCCTGGCTATTGTGTTGTTGTTGCAGTTGTCATTACTGTTTAGCAGGACTGGGCCAGGTTTGAACCCGCCAGCCTCAGTGTATGTGGCAGTGCCCTAACCACTGGGTGGGGTAGGGGGAAAAGACAGTTATTATGGACACTGCAGAGGGATCTGGTGGGGAACACAGCCAAATTTGGTCTGCCTGCCACCTCCCAAGCCTCTCCACACCAGTGACCTGGGCTCCCTTGCTGGCTTCTTCTCTTTTCCACACACACTCAGATCCTAAGTGACTTCATCTGATGTGACCTCCACACATCTCCAGCCCAAGCCTATTCCCTTAGCTACAAAAGTCCTCTGGATATCACTGCTAGGATGTCTACAGGCACCTCCCACTTATTAAGTACAAACCAAACTGTCTTCACCCAGCTCAGGAAGACCTCCCCCAAACTTCCCTGAGTTTCTTAGCTCAGGCTGTGAACCTTAGTGCCATCTTTAACCTCTCCCTCTCTATATCCATCCTGCCAACTTCCAATCTATAAACACATCCTATTGTTTCAGCCTTCAAAACACACCCAGAAATCAACCTCTTCTCCCCTCCCTGACCCAAGCCTCTACCCTCTCTTGGCCTGGCTCATTGCAGAAGCCTCCTAACTGGTTTCCTTCTACCGTTGCTCCTCTGCAGTACAGTCCCCACAGAGATGCTGGAGTGAGTCTGTTAAATGTAAGTCTGATCATGTTACTGCTCCTCCCAAAACCTTCCAAAGGGTCACCATCCTATTTGGAATAAACACCTAATTCCTCACTATGACCTAGCAAGGCCTAAGTCACCTCTCTGCCCTCAGCCTATGAGAACACACCCATTGCAACTCCCCCCTTCCCCAGCCTCCTTGTTCTCCTGCATCGGTACCCATACTCTCCTTTCTGCGCTGCTTTTGAGTCTTGGTCAGAACTTAACCTTTGAAGTGAGAACTTTCCTGGCCATCCCAGCCACGATCCTAACTGCCCCCACCTCAGCCCCAGTTTGGCCCACATCACTCATTGACAAGAACCACACACTGCTGCTTACTATGGGCTTCTATGTCTAGGACACCGGCTACCCCAGGGCAGTGGTTTCTATTTTCTTCACTTTTTCTAGTCCTAAAGAACAACAGCTGGCACATACCTACACACAATAAAAAACAGTTTACTGGTCGAGTGATTAGAACAGAAACTGTATTACATACAGTCAAGGGAAGCACAATTTTTAAGGGTTCTAGAAGAGAGTGGACCACCAGTCACTCCTGAAAGGATGTACAGTGCCATGTCAGGTGGAAAACTCCCTACCACGTCCTAAAGGCACGTTTTTTTTTTTTTAAATACAGTCTCAAGCTGTTGCCCTGGTTAGAGTGCCATGGTGTCACAGCTCACAGTAACCTCCAACTCTTGGGCTCATGTGATCCTCTATGCCTCAGTTTTTCTATTTTTAGTAGAGATGGGGTGTGTGTGTGTGTGTGTGTGGGTTGCTTTTGCTCAGGCTGGTCTCAAACTCATGAGCTCAAGCAATCCACCTGCCCTCCCAGAGTGCTGGGATTGCAGATGTGAGCCATGGCCCAGCCCTGATATGTTTTCATGAGCAGAAAAAGAGGCCTTCAAATGTGATGCCTTTTCTACTTTGATCCCACAAAGAACAGCATTTCTTATTATCACATGACCACACAACTGTAATCTTAACTTGAACATAATAGTTTTAAGATTTAAGACAATGTGACCAATAATAAACTGTTCTCACCCTAGGGAGACTAACATATCCAAACAATAATACCTAAAAAGAAACAGTACAACAAATTATACTGTATTGTAAGATAGCAAACGACAAATAATAACAGAGTTACAAATAGTACAACAGTGTCTGGTGCTTATTCTAGAAAACCAACGGCACAAAGCAGATGTGTCAACATGCTCAGGGGGTAGTTAGTGCTGCTGTCTGCTCCGGCCACCTAACACATTCAAGTGATGAGCCGCCACAGTCATCCAAATAAACACTGGCCGTACACATTACACTTTCCAAACTAAGATCCTAATAAATTTATGTTGCAGCTGCCACGAAAAGGAAAAACAAAAACCACGCATTCAAGATGACAGGTCAAAAGGGAACTAGTTTCTACAAGGAGTGAAGAACCAAGACTGCTGTGTAAAAACGCCGCCACGGCGACCAAGTGACGGGTTTGGTACCAGCCCAAGTCTTCAACAGCTTGCAGGCAAATAAATGTCCCCTCGTGAGCGGAAGCGCGACAGACAGGCAGAGGCAACGGTACCCACGCCGCTTCCACCGCATTAGGACGCCAAGAAATTAGGACGAGGCGAGCTGGAGTCGCTGTTTACACAGAAAGATGCTGAGAGCAGCTGCTAGCTACTGGATTTTCTTGATAAGAAAAAGTGAGCACCCCGGGAGTGCACCTCTCCGGCCTCTCACAACTTCACGGAAGCTACGGCACCAGCCAGGGCAGGCCGAGCTGTGCGGCCACCGCGCCCACGCCCACCCTGCAGCCTCCGGCGCCCCGTCGCTGCCATCCCGCGGCCTGGAGGCCTGTGGAGCCCACGACCTCCAGGCGCTCCCGACGCGACCAGCGGCTCCAGTGTGACCGATACTGAAGACCCGCTGCCTAGAGGCGCGGTACGTCGCTGCGGCCCCCTGCTCGGCGACGCCGCCCCGCGCCCCCGCACAGCCCGAGCCCGCCCATGCCATTGCCGGAACACGTCACGGCCGTCTTGGCCCCGCAGCGGGCTAGGTCGAGGGCGCGGCCAGCGCATCCCGAGGAAGGCCCAGCAGCTCCTCACCTGCGTCCATCTTCCCCGTCCGGGCGCCGACTGACCCGAGCGGCGTCGCTCCGACCGGCCCCGCAGCGCGACGCGGCAACCGGA